ATTGACTTGTTTCTCTTAAAAACTTTTTGAAGTTGATTAATGGGTACGAATATACAGATAGATAGAGGAAATATGACCTGGCATTCTCTAGACCAGTAGGGCAACTGTAGTTCATATTAATCTATTGTACATTTCAAAATAGCTACAAGAGAATAATTGAAATGTTCCTAGCATATGGAAAAGAGAAATATTTAAGGGGATAGATATCCCAATTACCCTGATTTGATTATATAAATGTATCAAATTATCACATATACTCTGAAGATCTGTACATCTATTACACAGCAATAAAAAATAAATAAAAAATAAAGTTATTCCTAACAATGACAAAAAATCTTTTGACATTGATAAAACGATTGGGCCAGGCACAGTGGCTCACAGCTGTAATCCCAGCTTTTAGAGAGGCTGAGTCAGTAGGATTGCTTGAGCCCTAGAGTTCAAGACCAGCTTTGACAATGTAGCGAGATCCCTGTTTCTACCAAAAAAAAAAAAAAAGTCAGATGTGGTGGTGCATGCCTATGGTCCCAGAACTTGGGAGGCTGAGGTGGGAGGATCACTTGAGCCCAGGTGTTTGAGGTTACGGCAAGCTATGACCATGCCACTGTACTCCAGCCTAAGTGACAGTGAGACCCTGTCTCAAAAACAAACAAAAAACAATAAAAAAGAAAGAAAATAAAGAAAGAAAAGAAAAAGCAACTGATTTTTCAAAAACACCGAGTAAATAAATAATAATGCAGGTGGTAGGTGAAATTAGCAACACTGTTTCACTGGTACCCTAATGCTGGACCTTTATGAAGCCCTGTGTTTCTCATTCAGCCTTCAGCAGCCCCATGAAGCTCAGGGATGTACCCTTCCCATCCTTGTGTGCAAGGTGGGCCGTATCTGGTCAGTCACACACCAGGTTTCACGATGAATTCCACAATGTCATATGGAATAGTTTAAAGAACTAAACTATTCCAGAGAAAAGCTGGGTTTGCAAAAGATCAGAAGGCAGCTATCTCCAGCACCACTTTACCCCACTGAGTTTGGGTGCAGCCTCTCCCCTAGGAGGATGGGGAAGATGATTCGCACAAGCTGGCTTATTGTCTGGGCAACCCTGAATGCGATCCAGGGTCACCTTTGGCAACTGTGCTCACTGAACCATGATCCCCATTTTACAGATGCAGGAACAGGCAAGAGAGACTCAATGATTGGCCCAAGCCATACACCAATTCCAGGATCCAAATTCAAAACCAATCTACTTTACACTTCAAGGAAAAGAGACAATTATGTGAGGCAATCAGGAGAGGAAGGGCCCTGCTCTGTTTTCAGGGTCCACTTTCCATCTTGGAGAAGGACCAGAGGAGCCAGGCTGCTCTGCAGTTTTTAGGTCCTTCCCTCTTTCATGTGCTGGCTGCCTCCCACCTTGAGCGATTTTGGTATCTGGGAAGTTCTGAGAGTCACTGCAACTCTCTCCTCTGTTGATTATAAAAAAGACTTGGCAGGACACTTCCCATTCCTAACCCCTGCACCAGAGAATCATTCCCTAGATTAAAGATGACTTCTCCAGTCTCCGTTTTAAAATGTATTATAGGGTCTGGTGTGGTGGCTTACGCTTGTAATCCCAGCACTTTGGGAGGCCGACGCAGGTGGATCACCTGAGGTCAGGAGTTTGAGACCAGCCTGGCCAACATGGTGAAACTCTGTCTCTACTAAAAATACAAAAAATAGCTGGGTGTGGTGGTATGTGCCTATAATCCTAGTTACTCAGGAGGCTGAGGCAGGAGGATCGCTTGAATGCAGGAGGTGGAGGTTGCAATGAGCTGAGATCGTGCCACTGCACTCCAGTCTGGGTGAAAGAGCGAGACTGTCTCAAAAAGATGTAAAAAATGCGTTATAGTCACTGACTGGAGTTCATGATAGAGTTATGTGTAGATGTTTTTGAGATCTCTTACATAAGGATCAGGATGAAAATAGGAGCTGTTTCTTTAATTCTTACTATTCAAGTTTTAAGAAACACTTTAGTATTCTACTCAACTCTTCCCTTTTTTCCCTTTGTTTCTTGCTGGTTCTGAAAAATAAGTGTAGCCCCATAAATATGCAGAATGTGAAAAGCTGACTTTTCCTAAATCTAATAAAATCCTTGGAGAGTAATTGAAGTAATTTGGCGTGGGTAGTCAGGTTACATGCTGCATAATATCAAAAGAGAGTCCACAGCAAGGAAACTTGAGAAAATAGGAAGAGGGGCTGGAGCATAAAACCAGAACACTAAATAATGAGTAACTGAGAAACTAAAAATATATCTTTTTAGAATTACAGTCTTAGAAAATTAGTCAAGGATAGTCAAAGAGGTAATACTAGACAAAGTATACATTTTATGCATTTCTAAGGACTCCAAATTAAAAGGAAGAAAATATCCCCTCTTCCCCGGCATGTATTCACTAGACAAAAAGTCTGACAAAAGCCACAGCTTTCGAGCACATTTTGACATGATTATGTTCTCCTCTTGTCTCCTGTCCCTGATTTTTTTCAATCTGAATTTTAAAGGAATGTTGTCAAGAGAGCAGATCGCAAAAGGAGAACAGTTTACTATCAAGTGTCCTAGGTATACTCTTTGGATTATCTTACTCTCTAGTCTTTATGATTTTATGAACGATGACTGCGTTTATTGCCAGTAGTAAGGTGATGTTGACTTTGCACACCTGGGTGTTGTGATGGAGAAATGCTGGATTAGAGTCACAAGTTACAAACAGCAGCTTGCAGCCTGCATTTCTGGCAGAATCCTGTCACTCAGTGTCCTGCCCTAACCTCAGACCTTTGGCTACAGAACCCTGGACAAGCCCTGTGCTACTCCTAGACTCAGTTTCTGTCAAGTTTTTTAGAGTTATTTCTATATAAAAATAAACATCAGGAAACAGAAAAGCAGAAAAAGGTGAAAGCAATCACCCATAATTGATCAAACATAATGATTTTCTATATTTTCTGCCAATCTTTCCTATGCATACCTTTTTTTTTTCCTTTCCTTTTTTTTTGTGGAGACAGAGTCTCACTCTGTCACCCAGGCTGGAGTGCAGTAGCATGATCTCAGCTCACTGACACCTCGGCCTCCCGGGTTCAAGTGATTCTCCTGCCTCAGCCCCCTGAGTAGCTGGGACTACAGGCATGTGCCACCATGCCTGGCTAATTTTTTGTATTTTTAGTAGAGATGGGGTTTCACTGTGTTAGTCAGGATGGTCTTGACCTCCTGACTTCGTGATCCATCAGCCTTGGCCTCCCAAAGTGCTGGGATTACAGGCATGAGCCACCACGCCTGGCCTTTTTCCTTTTCTTTTAAAAATGTGGTATAAACTAAACTGTATGATTCAATTTTATATCCTGATTTTTCTTTTGGCAGTGCCTTGTCTTTCCAAATAAAAATATATTTGACCTTTAGCCATCATTTTCTAGGGCTGCATAATATTCCACACAAATGAGTTTTGTGCTTTGTTTTTTACAATCTTCATTGACAGAGGATATTTGACAGTGTTGGGGGCTATTTGAGTATCTCACTAAAGGAAAAAGAAAGTGCAGCCACAGGCCTGATGTTAACTTTGTATCTGTGATGGGTCACATGGCCAGATTTGACTGTAATTGTCCATTAACTATTGGTTGTATTCCCATGCGGAGGGATGAGGCTGATCTCTTTCTGCAGATCATCTGGGATCACAGCCCAATGACTGTATTATCTTTGTTGGTATCTGAGTGGAGTGAGACAAGGTGGGTAGAAGTGTCTCCTCTGTAACTTACTATCTTTGTGGCTGGGGAAGGGGTTCTTGGCTTCTCCATGTCTCCATTTCCCCAGCTGTGACAGTGTGGATATTATTTTCATGCCCAATTCTGAGAAGTATATTTTAACACATTTGGTATTGAGTTGAATGCCACAATCAATGGGTACATTGTAATTTTTCCTTCCTTTTTCCTCCCTCAAAACTCCCTGGAGCTATTACAATCAATGGTATCTTAGTACTGAAGAAATTTAATAATACTTGTCTTACAGTGTCTGTTGTTGAAAGGATCAACAGAAATAAACATAAAGTGTTCTTAGCACTTGGTAAGAGCTCAGTTAATGACAGTAATTATTTTATTAATAAAAAAATCTATATTGTTCTTAGATGAGGAGGGCATTTATTCTGTATAGAATATTTATTATAAGAAATACATTATTTGTAGGTCACATGTTTAGTTTAAAAGCTTGCTGCTTGGAAAATCCCTCAACATGTTTTGTTAATTAGAGATAGCACAGGGATAGCAAATAGGTTTAACTTCATGTGCCAAGCCTAATTTGTTGATGATGATTGTCAGACATGCTGTGTTTCAAGAACTGCTGAGGCAGAGTCTGAGCATAGCAGACAAGAGTGCCAAGGCTGATTAGCGATATCTTTCCCAGGCTTAGGAAGACGGAGTGGCAACACACACACTGTTTACCATCTCTACATTATGGTGTTACAAAACATTACTTGGCAATTCATTAGGCGTTAGCCAGGCCATGGTTTATCAATCAGAAGTTTCATCAGAATCTTGTGGCAATAGACCACCTCCAGGTCCAAGGGGGAAGGTTGAAACCCACACAGGTGAAACTGAAAACTCCAACCCCAGCAGAAACACGGGAGACTCTGCACCATCGGAGACGGCAGAGCTTTTGCAATGACCTTAACGTTGCTCAGCTCTTGCTCTGCTAATGCTCATTTAGGTCTTGCCTCCTGAGCCTCAAGCATCCTGTGCCTTGGCCTTGCTAGAACTTTGCTATGGGCAAATGATCTGCTCTTTTGGTCTACCCCTTGACTGCAGCTTGTTTTTGTTCTCCTTTGCTGTGGGTAAATGGCTCTAAGCACAGGGCCCTTCTTTCAGAAAGGGCAATGGTGTTGGAAGGGAGACTGTTCATTTTATTCTGTGGTCCTTGCTATGTAAATCTCAGCTTTTGAGGTGCTTATAAAATAAAATCAATAATTACAGGGCAAAGGCTTAAATGGAAAGCTACATACCATTTCTTGCAATATTCTGGTAGTCCCTGTGATTACAGTGGTTTCTTTTCCATAAGCGAAGGTAAATAGATTTTTCTTTAATTCTGAAACAAATACATATGTATATATTTAAGGTCAGGATACTCACATGAAGAAGTTAAAAAAAAAACCATGTTTCTATCACGTTTTTAAAAAGTACTGTTAAAATGAACTCAAAAAAATCAAATCTCTGCTGACAAGTTTTCTCTGAACTGTGAATGTAATGTTGGCAGTTGTTATGAGAAGCAGTTCTATGAAATGAGTTGTATGGGTGTCGTAAGAGTACTGCTGAAGACATAAAACTTTTTCTTTTGTACAAAGACCTCCAGAATTATCCCTTTCAAGTATTTTTTTAACCAAGAACTGCTGTACATTTCTTGAGCAATTGCTCATCTTTATTAACTCTATTATTTTGAAGCTAACCATGTTTCCTTTTTTTTTTTTTGGTTGCTATAAGGCTATGGTTGGCACTATTATTGTCCTTCAGCTCTGTTCTCCCTTCATGCACTATAATAGAATTTTTAGCAAGACCCATGTCTGTCCAGAATGAGGATTGCATTTTCCAGCTTCTCTTGCAGCTAGGAGTGGCACATCACTAAGTTCTGGGTGATGAGATGGAATTGGAACTATCCAGTGGCAATTTCTGGTAACGTTCCTTAGGAAACAATTGGATGATGATTCTGTTTCATTTTCTGTACCTTTTCTTCAGTCTCCTGCCCGGACTAGGAATGCTGCCATCTTAAACTATGGGAGTAAGGTTCACATTGAAAAAGTGGAGGGGTCAGGTGGAAGGGGCCTGGATCACTGAGAACTACATGGAGTTGAGCTCCCATATCAATTCTAGACTGAACATTTTCTAAACCTTTCTGTGTGAGAGAAATAAACTTATATGTTGAATCTCTGTTCCTTGAATCTAATACTAACGGACACAGAGCTTACAGACAAATTTGACACCAGTATCAGGATATAATTATACATATTTTAAGTCATTGTCTTGACTCCCTTTTGTCTCATCTCGGAGTTTTCCTTTTCTTTTGCTTAATTTAGATGTAAGTAGTTTAATTAATGAAACTTAGTTTAATTTAAATGTAATTAAATATTATGTTCTCTATACTGTCATAGGCTTCCTAAAATCTTTTTTGAAACAAGACAAGATATAAACTAAAAAATAATAATTTAGCTTAAAATACTTGCATAATCTTCAAATATATTTCATCTTCTTTTCATTATAATAAGTTCACATCTCACAACCTTACATACAATACTGTTTATTAAGTGTTATATGAAATCTTACTCATTGTATTACAGTGCATGGCAACTGTCTTAGTGCTTCAGAAAGGTAAGCATATATTCTGTTTGGGCATTCAGAATGTATTGTAAATAGTATATATTTTTTGAAGTCTGAGAATACCAGTGATAATGTTTTTTAATAGAAGACCAAGATGTCTGAGCAATATTTTAAGTGTGATATTTTTGTTTTGTAGTAGAATTTTGAGGTGAATGATGTATTTATTTTTTAAAATCAAAGCTACCCATGCACAAAACTTAAAATTAATTTACTTAATAGATGTTTATTGAGCACCTGCTACATTCCAAGTATTATTCTAGGCCCTTGAGTTATATTGGAAAATTAAAAAACATGATCCCTGCTTCTGTGTTGTTGAAATTTCAACATAAAAAGACCAATAAAAGCATTAAACATTATAAAAAAGCAAATGACAGCGTATGCTAGAAAGTTATAAATTCTATGAAGCAAAGGAGAAAAAGGACATGAGAATTAGAGTGGCCAGAGGAAGTCTAACTGAGAAGCTAAAATCAACAAAGACTTGAGGTGATGAGTCTCATAGAACCAAATAACTTACCTATGTGTGTATATGAGACTTGTGATGATAAACAGCAACTCCACACTTCCCTGCAGTATCCATGTCTCCATTCCCATAGGCAACTAATTCCAACCTTAACTGGCTGGGTCTTTTGATATTTTTCTTTTCATCTCTAAGCAACATACTTTTAAAGCTACTTCTTGATTTTTAGTCTTTGACGTTATCTGTTCATTTCTTACCCTAGAAGAGGATTTAGCTATTGACAACTAATCTATGATTGCTTTCTATTTTCTTTATAACTTTTTTATTTCTGTAGAGTTAATAACTGCCTTTTGTTTCTTTCCTTAATTTTCTAAGTCTTTATCATTGTATTAGTCTACTCTCATATTGCTGTAAAGAAATACCTGAGACTGGGTAATTTATCAGAGAAGAGGTTTAATTGGTTTATGTAAAGGAAGCATAGCAGCATCTGTTTCTGGGGAGGTCTCAGGAAGCTTCTAATCATGGCAGAAGGCAAAAGGGGAACAGGCATGGCACATGGCAAAAGCAGGAGCAGGAGAGCAAGGGAGAATGTGCTACACATATTTAAATGATGAGATTTCATGAGAACTCACTCCCTTTCATGAGGACAGTACCAAAAGGGATGGTGCTAAATCATGCAAGAGAAATCCACCGCTATGATTTAATCATGTCAAATTTTTCATAAGTCTAAAACTACTTTAAAAAAAAAAAGCCTATTAAAAAAAAGGCCCTGCGTGGCTGAACTCAGCCTCCCAGTTGTCCCTTCCCAGGCATGTCATGTGAGTGAAGCCATCTTAGATCCTCCAGCCCAGTCATTAGATAATGTTATCGCATAACCACAATGTCATACAGAGAGGAAAAATTGGCCAGTCAAGCCCTGCCTGAATTCCTGAGCCCTTCAAAATGTGAGATATAATAAAATGACTATTGTTTTAAGCCACAAAACTTTAGGGCAGTTTGTTACACAGCAATAACATAAATCTATATTAGTCAGGTTCTCCAGAGGGATAGAACAAACGGGATATATATTTAATACTTAATCAACTCCCATATATGGGAGTTGATTAAGTATTAACTCACCTGCTCACAAGATCCCGTAATAATAGGCTGTCTGCAGGCTGAGAAGCAAGGAGAGCCAGTTTGAGTTCCAAAACTGAAGACCTTGGAGTCTGATGTTTGAGGGTAAGAAGCATCCAATACAGGAGGAAGATGCAGGCTGGGAGGCCAGGCCAGTCTCTCTTTTCACATTTTTCTGCCTGCTTACATTATAGGCACACTGGCAGCTGATTAGATTGTGCCTACCCAGATTAAGAGTGGGTCTGCCTTTCCTGCCTCACTGGGAATGTTAACCTCTTTTGGAAACACCTTCTCAGACACACCCAGGATCAGTACTTTGTATCATTCAATCCAATTAAGTTGACACTCAGTATTAGCCATCACAGTTACTATCTTTTTCCCTCACAAGTCTGAGGGAATCAATTGATTCATTGGCTTTTAGCCTCCCCAGCATTGTTAATTAAGTATGAAGCAATTCTGTGTCTTGATTCTTTGAAAGCCTATGGTAGCATCTTGTTCCAAGTGTTCTGAAATGTTATAATGGCAGGCTTGGTGTGGGTCTGCTTTCATTCACAGTGTTAGACTTTTGATAAACCCTTTCAACCTGGAAATTCATGATGTTCAGTTTTGAGAGGTGTCTTTAAATTATTTCATTGATGATTTCTTCTTTTCTCTTTTCTCCCTACAGCTATTGGGTCATCTGAACTAGTCTCGTAATCTTCCTTATTTCACTGGTCTTATAATTTTTCTTGTTTCTCTGTCCTATTTTCTCTTTCTTTCTTCCTTTCTTTCTTTCTTTCTTTCTTTCTTTCTTTCTTTCTTTCTTTCTTTCTTTCTTTTTCTTTCTTTCTTTCTTTTTCTTTTTTCCCTTTCTTTCTTTTCTTCTTTCTTTTCTTTTTTCTCCTTCTTTCTTTCTTTCTTTTTCTTTCTTTCTTTCTTTTCTTTTCTCTCTCTCTTTCTTCCCTCCTTCCTTCCTTCCTTCCTTCCTT